GTTATGATGCATGAATTTCTTCCTAATACAATTTTTATAGAAAGACTAATTAAACAAGGATGTAACATATTCTTATGTATGTATACATATATGAGCTAATTCAGAAATTAAGAGTAACTATAGTAATATAAATGTAGGAATCAACATACTTAGGATGAAAATATACAGAAGGGGAAAAAAATAACAGCCAATAATTAGTCACCAGAAAAATTTCCCCCTCAAGCCTAGAGGTCAAAAGCTAATGACCACATTGGATACCAATTTGTAAATTAATGAGTAAGGGCCCTGTTCATGCACAAGGAAAGAGTGTTCTGAAATTCAGCTCTTCACATTGATTACAAGTGCCGTTGCAGAGTTTGACTGTAACTTGTAGCAAATTATTCAAAGGACAGGACTGTGTTTTATCTTTCTTTGTTCCCTGATAGCGCCTTTTAATTAACATTGTTAAGGCCATTATAGAAATTTAAATGACTTATTTAAAATAAGCCACCTGTGGGCCCATGCCTGCAATTCTAGTTATGGGGGCAGGGAGTAGGAGGATCATTGTCCAAGGTTGGACCAGGCAAAAAATTATAAGAAAACTTATAAAACTAAGGCAAAAAAGGACTGAAGGTAAGACTCCAGTGGTAAAGTGCTAGTGAACAGGAAGCACTGAGTTCAAACCCTAATAACATTAAAAAAGTGATTAAAAAAAAGATAAGCCATCTTGTCTGGTGACTCAGGAGGCTGAGATTGAGGATCACAGCCATACTAGGCAGGAAAGTCTGTGAGACTCTTATCTCCAATTAACCACCAGATAACCAGAAGTAGAGCTGTGTCTCAAAGTGGTAAGGCACTAGTTTTGAGCAAAAGAGCTCAGTGACAGAGCCTAGTCCCTGAGTTCAAGGCCCATGGTTGCCCAAAACAAAAAAGAAAGAACAAGATAAGCCATCTTGAAAGACCCCATAACAATCATTTCTTTCATTTCAAAGAGCATATAATTAATTGTTCATAATAGTATGAAGATAAAAGTAAAATTATTTAACCTGGGATTTAAGCTCCCTCATGATTGTATTTTCTCCTCCCCTCTCATTTCCTATTCCTTTCCTTCTAGCATCTTATCTTCTCATCAAATTAACCTTCCTTATTTCCCATCCGCTTGTTTTTGTACCTATGTATTTGGTAATTTTTATACGATCTATCTCTTTGCATTATACTTCGAACATAGCTTGTTTTCCTTATTAGATTGTAAATTGTTTATAACAGTGATCGTGTCTTATAAAGTATATTTAACTACATTCTATTACCTAACACAGGGTCTGGCATGTGGGAGACAAATAAAATGTATTGAAGGAATTACTGAATGAATAAATGATACTATTGAAGGAATTACTGAATGAATAAATGATACTAATAAAACTTTAAAATGACAATTGTCTTTTAACAAGACATAGAAAAAAAGTAACTTTCTTAACTTAAAACAGCATTTTAAAAATATATGTAAGTGAATAAAATAAATTCTTCAGAAATCTGTTTTTAAAAATGTAAATTCTGGTGTTACCTGTCAGTAGGGGACATGAGGAATACGAGAGGCCTCTGCAATCATCTAATAGGAAGCAATCATCTTCTGAACCATTGTTGATAGTAAAGTGGAAAGAAGAAAAAAGATCACAAGACAATAAAAGGTGCGTTCCTGGCAAGAGAAGTCTTCACCAGTCTTTTCCTTTGCAAAAAAAGTCATTTTCTTGATCATTTTTTCCTTACATCTAAAATTTGGCTTTTGAAATCAGTATGTGTTTATTTGAAATTCTATTCACTTACATGTGTGCAGAAATAATTATATTTCTCAAAATACTTTTCAGATATGTATTGTGTTTCAAAATGCACAATACATAGGCTAAGCTATAGACACTTTTGTCCAATAAATCTCTTTGAAAAAAAGTTACTCAGTGTTAGATACTGCAAAGATCAGCTCTGGTTATAAAGCAGTGAGGCACTGAGAGAACCATCATGCTTCCTTTAGTTTATTTCAAACAGAGGACATGAATTACAGGAAGTAAGACTTCAAGTGGTTAAGACGAAAAGAGTTTTGCCTTTCAGAAGTTTGTCAAATGCCAGTTTTCTAAATTTCATCACTGAACTCCTTAGGATAGTCCAATATAGCACACAATATCTGTTGCTTTTCTATCCATTTGGCAAAGACTTCATAGAGACAAATGTTACAGAGGATCAGAAATGGAGACTTCTGGAGAAATGACCAAAGCCAGAAATAAAATTGTACTAATTAGAAAACAAATAATTAAATGGCCAAATCCGAATGTTGTGTGATACTCAAAAGCGATAAATTTCTAAAGCACACCATCTGTTTTACAATGTTTTATTTTCCTGAACTACAAATCTACTCAGTACATTTCTGCAGTCATCTAGCTGCTAACTCATTTGCACGATTACTTTAGGCCAGAAATAATTACTGCACAGAATCCTATAAGAGAGTAACATATTCACAGAGGGCAGATAGAATGCATTCTTGGGTAAAGAGTATTTTTTAGCCCTTAAAGAAAGAAAATTGTTATTCAAAGAAGTGATTTAAAATTGCCAAAGGAAAATTACAGAATTTACAAAAATGAGATCATTTCATATTTAAGGCATCTAAACTTATCTGGGATTCTACTAAATGTTGTAGTATTTACAAGCATGTCACTGGGGCCTCTTTTCCTCTCTACCTACATTTCCTTCCTATGTTTCCTTCCTAATTAATATCTTCAACACAATGGTTTGACATGGTATTTGTGTGCCCAAGATTATCCAATTTATATTTCCAGATCAGAATTCTCCTGTTCCAGACTCATATGTTCAGTTAATTTCTGATATTTCTCCTTCCATGTTACAGTTATTTCAAACTTACCATACCTAATATAGTTTCTTGATTCACCAAACATACCCAAGGGGAGGAAGAGCTAATCCAAAATGGCACCATGGTCCAATCAATTGTTAGAGAAAAATCTAGATTTCATCCTTGATTTTTCCTTTATTATTATTACTCTCCTAATCAATCACCAAATTCTATCATTTACACTTCCTTTTCTTGGAAGGAGTAGGCCTAGCATGCTAGGCAAGCACTCTACACCATGGAGCTATATCCACAAGCCTGACATTTACACTTCTAGAATACATAGCTCCCATGTTTCTCTTCATCTCTATTGTTTATTGTTACCACTTGATCCAAGCCACTATCATCATCTAGTAATAAAACTTCCTCAATATCTAATTCCCTATTTGCCCACACAGAGTGCACTTTTAAGAATATAATTGAATGTTATATTTATCTCAAATGCAGTTGTATCATTCATACCTAGTTCTTAATACACTGCCTGGCAAATAATGCATCTTCAAACGTCTTCATTGATTAAGATTGCTTAGTAATACTTCTATGTATCTATGGTAGTCTACATTTTTGAAAAAAATATCTATCTACAGGCCTATTCATTCACTGAATCATTCATTCAAAATGAATCATTCACTTATTCATTGAGAATTGTAATACCTAAGGTTAAACTGCGTATTTCACAATATCTGTTTTGTTTTCTTTTTGATGCCAGTCTTAGGGCTTGAATTTAGGGTCTAGGCACTGTCCCTGAGCTTCTTTGCTTAAGAATAGTGCTCTAGCACTTGAGCCATAGATCCAATTCAACTTTTCTGGTGCTTAAACAGAGATAAGAGTATGGAGTTTCCTGCCCAGGCTGACTTCAAACTGCAATCCTCAGATCTCAGCCTCCTGAATACCTAGGATTATAGGTGTGAGCCACCAGCATTTGGCTTCACAATATCTTTTTTTGGGGGGAACAATCATGGGGCTTGAGCTCAGGGCCTGGGAACTGTCCCTGAACTTTTTCACTCAAGGCTAGCGCTCAACCAGTTTGAGCCACAGCACCACTTCTGATTTTCTGGTGGTTAATTGGAGATAAGAGTCTCATGAGGACTTTCCTACCCTGGCTAGCTTTGAACCGCAATCCTCAAATCTCAGCCTCCTGTGTAGCTAGGATTACAGGTGTGAGCCACCAGTGCTCAGCACACAATATCTTAAAGATGATTTAAAAAAATACAAATTACTTCCTGCTCACCTGGAGTGGGCACAGGTAAGCATGACATCTCTATGAGGTACAAACCCTGCTTTGTCATGCTCAGTTTGTGGGTTCCACTTCATTGTCTAAGATGATTTTCAAATACTAGCCATCAATCTACATTCTAGTCAGCAGAAATGAGGAAGGATATGAGGAATGCTACACGTGCACTCCCTCGTTTATGAGTCAACTGCACATCTCTTCAACTATCTATGATAACTAACAAAGAAGACTGGATAATAAAGATTTTTAAGTGGATAGCAATTTCTCCACCTAAAAGCCAGGATCCTTAATACCACAGAGGGAAAAGAAAATGAATGAGAGGTAAGCAGTAGCTTCTTCCTAAGTTGCTGCTGACCAGGTAATGCTCTAGGAGTAGGGATACAGAGGGCAGGAAGACACAAAGTCTAGGCTCACCATATTTAATCTAATAATGGAATGAAATACATAAATGACTATTTAAGGTTTTAAACAAAGCAGCAGCAACTGATTAGAGGTATTAGCTTTTCTAAGTCCCCAAAGACTCCCTGCATCCAAAGAGTCGAAAGTGTTGTAAATGATTCTAGAGCTTTGCATCACTGAACTGAACAGACTGCTTCAAGGTGCCATAGCTTTAATAATAGGCATCTCTCAGCTCTGATCTGGACATGATAACTTCATGGCAAAGAACAAAGCAAAGTTCATTTAAACTTCTATAAATATATGCGAGCAACTGTGATAACAGTTGTTACTACTTGGAAATGCCCATTTCAGAAATGTCAAGACAAATAATCTTTTTTAACTTGTCAGAAGATGAAACTAATTGACTGCTTCAAGAAGACTATATATACAAAACTACTAGACTAGACCAAATTAAATAAGCAATGTCAGAAAAAAAAAAAAGGATTGCTGTAAACTTACTGTTAACCACTGGCTATCTAGTAGTTCCTTAGCTGTGATTCTGTGAGCAGGATCTATTTTCAGAAGTTGTCTCAAAACACTTTTAGCTGCAAATAAGGAGGAAAAAAACCCTGAAAATCTTATTTCTCTTTAACTATAATTAATGTCAGATAGACATTTCTACGGATGGTGGCATATACCTCTAGTCCCAACTACTTTGGAGGCTAAGTCAGGAGCATAGCTTGAGTCTGTATATTTGAGACCAGCCAAGAGATTATGGTGAAACTCCATCTCCAAAAAATTAAAAAGTCATTTGTTTTTCAATTTATTTAGGTTTAGGCCTGTATTTGTAAACTATTATCAGTACATATGCCTAAAGTTTAAAGCCTAAAGTAAAGCTTTATTGCATGGATTACATAGTTCAATAGTATAGTAAAAATTAGTTATAGAAGGATTTCCCCCTTAATTTTTATTCTGTATTTTGTTTTGTGGAGGTTTAAGCTTTGCAGTCACAGTAAAAGTATCACTACTGCCACAAGCAAATGTTGTTTCTTCCTGAAATAAATTTTATGTCTAACCAGAGATTTAAAGCATTGTTACTAGACCAATTGTCTTATATTATGTTTACCTTAGTAAATAAAGCAAATTTATACTTACCACAGTCACTTATGGAATCCCAGACTGGATCTTCAAAATGTAGCTCTCCTTTTCTTATTAATTCAAAGAGTTTCTCTTCTGAATTTGCCAAAAAGGGTGGTTCTCCACATAACCTAAACAAAAGCAATTGTTTTGTTTAAATGTCTTCAAACCGAATCTGTTGAAAATTAAGTTTCTGTGGGATTGCAAGTAGTGGTGTTTCATATTTAAGTAATGGATGAGAAAAGAAGAATATCCTTCTGGATGTAAGAATGGAAGCAATATTGGCGAGGATCTGAGGGAAAAGGAACCCTACTGTATTGGTGGAAATGTAAACTAGTACAACCACTGTGGAAGAAAGTTTGGAGATTCTTCAAAAAATTAAACATAGAACTTACCTATGATACAGCCATACCACTCTTGAGCATTACCTTAGAATATTACAAACCAGATACCATAAAGACACTTGCACATCCATTTACATTGCTGCACTATTCACAATTAGCTAAATTATGGAAAGAGCCCAGATGCCCTACAATAGATGAGTAGATCCAAAAATATGGTATATATACACAATGGAATTTTAGTCACTCATCAGAAAGAGTATGTCATTTTCAGGGAAATGCATAGACCTAGAACAAATTATGTTACGTGAGATAAGCTGTAAGCCAAACACAGAGAAACAAAGGGTGCATGTTTTCTCTCATATGTGGACATTAGATCTAAAATACAACTGGACATGATAACTTATGCAGGTGTCTGGGCATTCATACACAAATGGTGAAACTAAAGGAGTATACTCTTAGGGGAAGAACCCAAAAGCATAATACCTTTGAACATTTAAAATACTATTTATCAAAACAAACCCCAGGAAATAGAAACATGGGCTTGTTTGTTGTTGGTAGTGATATCATTTGTTTTTTCTTTTTGTTTGTCTTTCGATGAGGGTGAGGGTGGCACAGAAATGGAGGGAGGAAGGGTAAACAAATGCAGTCGTGATACTCAGTAGGCACTGAGTGGAAAATGAACTATACAACTGTGGACAGGGATAGAAGGGGGAAATTTGGGGAAAGTGACAGGGGAGGTGACATTGTCCAAAAAGAAATGTACTCATTACCTGACTTGTGAAATGGTAACCCCTCTGTAAAACACCTTCATAATAACAATAAAAATTATATTTAAAAAAGAATGGAAGCATTAGGCTATCCAAGATGATGCTAGACCCTATCCTATTGACAGAATGACAGAGAAAGTACAAATGTATACATACGTGTGCACAACGACTCAAAGTCATTTAAGGGAAACAGTAAGCAAACATTGGATTAAAATACAGGAAAGTGTGAGTATAAGAGCATTATAACAAAAAAAAAAGAACATTATAATAGTGGCACCTAACAGGAAACAGACTTCGATGTGAGTAAGGTTAAAAGAATGCTTAAGATACATAATGCACGATCGAAGTGGGGAACTAAGGGAAAGTAAAGGAAGGGGTGATATTGTCCATAAAAAGACATTTACTCATTATCTGACTTACAACAATACCTCAATAATACAATAGAATTATTTTTTGTCAGTCCTGGGGCTTGAACTCAGGGTCTCAGTGCTGTCCCTGAGCTCTTTTGCTCAATGATAGCACTCTACCATTTTGAACCACAGTACCACTTTGATTTTATGGTGATTACTTGGAGATAAGAGTCTCACAAGGACTTTTCAGCCTGGGTTGGCTTTGAATCACAATCCTAAAATCTCAGCCTCCTGAGAAGCTAGGATTACAGGTGTGAGCCAGGGGTGCCCAGGTTAGATTTAACAAACAAACACACATACACACACACACAAACTTTTCCCTGAATAAAAAGATACATAATACCAATTGGACTAATGAAAATGTTACCAGAGTGCACTGAGAGTTATCAAAAGTTGATAAAATACTAAACAAATGTTAGTAATAAAGAGAAGGCAAGACTAACCCTATAGGCTTTGAGCTAACCTCCAAAAGCCAGGAAAATAGCTACAGCTCCTTAATTATGATGGACAAAATAAAGATGGTCTGGATGGAAAAATTAGATGATGACTGACCTTTTGGTGTAAATGAGTATAAGCTAGCCAGGCACTGGTGGCTCACGCCTGTAATCCTAGCTACTCAGGAAGCTGAGATCTGAGGATAATGGTTCAAAGACAGCCCAAGCAGGAAAGTCCATGAGACCCTTATCTCCAATTAACTGCCAGAAAACTGGAAGTGGTACTGTGGATCCAGTGGTAGAGTGCTAGCCAAGAGCTCAAGGACAGAGCCCAGGCCCAGAGTTCAAGCCCCATGACAACAAAAAGGGGGGGGCGGGAATGGGGGTTATAAGATAAGCATACATAACAATCAATATCAATAAAACTCTGAACAGTATGTATTAAGTGAACATTAAGTGAACAATACAGGGACTCTATATGCATTTTAGCATCTTTTAATAGAACATGGCAAGTCTATGAAGCTATTGATTCAAGAGTTACAAGAATATGCTGAAAAGTTGAGCTCAGTTCTTTAGAGTACATTCTCAATAAGTGTTAGCCACCATCTGTGCCCAATGTCAACCAGACAAAAGTTAGAGATAAACTCATTGAAAGAAAAATACTATATGTATTTTCTTCAACTCCCAGGATACTTTATATATATATATATATATATATATATATATATATGTATATATATATATATATATGTATGTGTATATCCATTTATGTATCTATCTACCTACCTACCATCTATCCGTCTGTCTGTCTACATTATCATGTAGTACTGAATTTTGAACTCAGAGCTTCATGATTGTTACACAGGTATTTTACTGCTGAGTCCTTTTTGTTGCACTGATTATTTTGACATGGGGTCTCAGTGCTTGGTGCATGCCTGGACCACTATCTGCTTATTTTAGGCTTCCTGTGATGGCTGGGATGACAGGCATGTGCCACTATGTGCAGCTTCTTTCCATTGAGATGGAAGCTTGCAGACTTTGCTGTCCAGATTGATCTGCAACTATAATTCTCCATCTCAGCCTCCTACATTGCTTTGGATGATAGGAGCACACCACTGCATCCAACTATGCATTGAGAAGGGGTCTTGTGAACCTTTCTGTCCAGGATGACCTTGAACTGTGTTCCTCTCAGTTTCATTCTCCCACGTAGCTAGGGTTATAAGTATGATCCATTAATGCCGTCCAGCCTCGACTTTATTATTAAAAGAATGAAATGGCATGGTTCCATTATACTTTTCAAGTTATTGATTATTCATAGTATAATTATCTCCAGGTCTTTTAGTAGTTTCATTTTGTTTAGTTACATTTTCCAAGTTCTTTAAATATCTACCTTATGGACATTTTTCTCAGTCAAAATTTGATAAACATTTGTCATGATGATGATGATGAATGAACTCATTTTCAACCTAGCAGTTTATCAAACTAGGTGAACAAGATAGCCAATCATGTCCCCAAAAGGATCTTGTTAGATCTTAATTTACTGAACTGTGTACAAATTCTTATTTTAATACTTTTTATTTCTCTAGCTCATTCTGACCTTCCTTTCTTTCATCTTATTCATCATGATATTGCTTAGTCTAAAAATGCAATTTAGAAAGCCATAGGAAACAAAAAAGCCAGAAAAATGGCCCTATGGACAATTACTATCTATTATAAGGAGGACAGGCCAGCAAGAGCCCAGTTCATTGAGCCTGTTATCAACCAGTGATATGCAACACACCAATTCCTTAGCTTCCTCTGCAATGCAACTATAGCTTAAGGGCTGCATTATAAAACTTCCACTTTTTTCTGCTCTTTGCAATTTTATTTACACAAAACGTATCTAATGGTTGGTCAATCAGCAGCATACAGAATTTTATGACAGCAATTTTCTCACACATATAGAAAAAGGAATCTAAGACATGAAAAATGCCTCTTAAAGTCTTGCTATTATTTTCTCTTGCTCTCACACAGGAATCAAAACAGCAGAAGATTGCAATCATAAAGAATATTTATTTATGCTAATTTCACCTTCAGAAAGGATGCTACCATTGTCCAATTAAGTAGAAATGAATCTAAGTTAACTGATAAACAAGAAAATAGCCCTCCTGGAGAAGGTAATATGTTTGTGTTCTTGGTGAAAGAAATTAACTGTAACACCACTGGGTACAGACAGATTAAGGAATCGGTACTGATTAGCTAAGTACAACTCTACTGTAAAGAAAAAAAAGATACCATCATGAGAATATGCAATCACATTCTGGAGCAGAAAAATGAAGATTAAAAAAAGAAAGAAAAAAATTAAGATATGTGATAACCTACATGAATGTATATTAATTTGATCACACATATTATATTTGACTTTCCTTGTGTAGAAAGTCTCAGGAGTATAAAAGAGTGGCTTAAAAACAGTTATATTTTAATTAAAGATTAAAGCTCAAAATTTTTGCACTAGGATTCTAATAAGCACAAGACAATGATCAAAACTTTGTGAATACATTTGTGCTTTATGTTATCTAAGCAATGATGTGTGTTGAGTTGCTGAATTACAGCTACAATCATATTATCCAATTTCTACTGTCTGTGTATTGCATTTCACAGAACTGTGAAAATATAGCTACTATGATACCAATATTCAGAAATGATCTGGAAGAGGTAGTACATAGTGAGATCTTCAGTAGGACTATAAAACTAATGTTGCACCAACATAAAAATGCTCATATTTATCAAGAAGCAGAACAATGGTCACTAACTTTTCAGAACACCTCTTAGACAATTCACTTAATTCAATTTAACAAATATAATTGAGTACTGATCATGTGCTTACTATTGTATCAGATACAAGTGATGCAAAGATGAATAATCTAAGACCTCTGTCTTCCATAGAATTTGGGGAAAGGAAAACAGATACAAGATATAGAATACTATAATTTAATCTAGTTTTTAAAATATTATTGTTTGCACATCAAAATGAGCAATGAATTCTATCAAAGTTATAACATACAAACCTTCTTAGTTAAATATTCCTGTTTTATTATTTTTATTTCAGTATTACTGTTTTGAATGTATTTCCGTATGATACCTTAAATTTTCTGTGGAATGTTAGAACTCAAATACAAAGAAAATATTGCTGGAGTACGAGTGAGGGAAATAGAGGGTTTTAATTTGGGGACTCGGCCCATTTGTGAAAAAAAGTCTGCAGATAAGACAACATGTATTTGTACAAGCATGCAAATGCAGAATTAAGTGGCCTAGAATAGGGTAGGTATGTGCAGCCCAAGACTGGAAAGGTATGCTAGAATCAGGTCATACTCAAATTGCTATGCCATGCATACGAGGATTCGCTGATATTTTCCTGTAGTAAGGAGTAATTATCAGAGTTGTTTTTTTTTTTAAATCAGGATAGTATTGTCAGATTTGTGATTTAGAAAGACAATGCTGACAGCATTATGAAGGATGAACTAGAGAGGGTGGCTAGAGGCAGGGAGAGCAATCAGAAAGACCCTATAATTTCCTAGGAAAGAGATTATAAAGAGATATCATATTGGTGAAGAAAAATCAAAGAACAAGTAAAACTATGTCAAAAGAAAAGTTTCTGTGACTCAAACTTTCAATGAGTGAAAAGGAACAAAAAGTGAAAAAATAGAGAACCAGGATCACTAACTAGTGCCTAACATACCCTAGATCCTGAAAAACCCCCATCTAGTGCTTTCCACTCCCCAGACATTCCTGTCCTCTAAAAAAATTATTGAAAAGGTTATGTATAGAGGGGTTAAAGTTACATAAGTAAGGTAATGAACACATTTCTTTTGAATAGTGTTATCCCCTTCCTCATTTTCTCCCACTTCCTGCCTCCCCACAACCCTCCCCCCAAAGTTGTAAAGGTCATTTCCAACGTAATTTCTAGTGAGTATTACTGTTGCATTGGTTTGCCCTTTGTACCTTTGCTGTGATTCCATCTTCCCTTCCCCAAATCAGATAAACATATGTACAAGACAAAGGGTACAGAAATCAAAAACAGTAACAAATGGGAATAAGCCAAAGGGAAGTAAAAAGAAACAACTGACTCTGGAAAGCAGTATGGAGGTTCCTCAAAAGACTAAACATAGAGCTCCCCTATGACCCAGCAATCCTACTCCTGGGCATTTACCCAAATGACCACAAACAAGGACACACCAGAGCTACCAGCACAATCATGCTCATTGCAGTATTATTTACCATAGCTAAGATATGGAATCAACTCAGATGCCCTTCAGTAGACGAATGGATCAAGAAAATGGAATTCTATGCTTCCATCAGAAAGAATGACATTGCCTCATTCAAAAGGAAATGGAAAGACTAGGAAAAAATTTTATTAAGTGAGTAAGACAGACCCAAAGAAGCATAAGCTGCATGGTTTTCCGGATGTTCTTAGCAGAGAACCACAATGGCTCAATAGCAATATGGACATGACTTTATAAAATGATGCCTTTCAAAATGAACTCCAAGAAATGGAAGCAAGAGGGTTTTTTTTTAATTGTACATTCCCTGTCCTTATGGGGGCTCTGGGGCCAGATGGCAGTGCCTTCATGCTGTTTATAGGCTAAAAGTAGATCTCATGAAAAAATACAAAGAAGCTTTTGGTTTGAAGCAAGGAATGAAGAAGGTGTTAAGGACAAATTTTCACTTTGTTCAGCTCACATAGTAAATTGTTACATTTATAGATCAATGAAAAGCAAAGCTGAAAGTTATAAATTTACAGTATTAAAACAAATACCTAAGGGATGAGCCTGACAACAAATAAGATGCCCTTCAGAATGACTTCCCAATTGGTTTTTAGATCATTTAAAAAATATATTGCCAAGTTTTTATTTAAAATCTATATCATCCTACTATTAGAGACTATCCATTTCTTCTATACTGTACATTCAGTAGGCTACTTACAAGAGGTACATTATGACACCTATGCTCCAAATGTCACACTGCTGGCTATAGTCATGGGCATTGATAACTTCTGGTGCTGCCAAATAAGCAGAAATAAAATAATATTAATAATACAATAAATGACTTGTAAATGCTTAAACACAAAGCATAGAAAATGTGCTGATGTGTTGTAATTTATTCCCCCATAGGGAAAAATATTAACCAACAGCAGATGTTAAATGAATAATGTACGGGCCTTACCGATTGATGTCACTGTATTCTCACTCTTATCATTTAGCGTATAGTGGAACGATGGCATAAACTGTGTAACTAAATGTACTACTCTTTATTTCTGTGAAATTGCTTAGAAGTGTTTTTGCACAAACTATGTAGTTATATTAGAAAAACTTTCCCCAAAATAGAAGATATGTCTAAGTAGATGTAACTTAAAGCAAGACCAATATGTAGAAATCTGAATTTGTAGAAGAACTAAAATGGTTATAAATCATTTTAGTAAAAGAATAATGACAATAAAAGCATAGCACTTCTGTGACAGAATATGAATTATTTTCTACATTTTAAGTAAAAAACTACAATAGAGAGAAAGAGAGAGCTATAAGACAGAATTTTTAAAAAGCCAATTAGTCACAAAATAGAACTAGGTTCCAGGTATTTGTGACTCCCCAAATCTGTGCTTTGTTTTAACACAGGCCTCTACAGTAGTGTGTCTTCAAACAACCTTCTTAGTAGAGCACTGCTCTTTTAACCTTGAGGTAAAACCTTTTTTAAAGATTAGATTTTTCTTTGAGCAATGGTTGGGTTTTTTTTTTAAAGTCACACGGGGATATGTCTATTTCACCTCTACACATAAAAACAAGATATCTTTCCTTAAAGAAAGAGGAAACAATTATAAACAAAACTGAGATATAGTATGGTATTTTCACAATAAAAAAATAAATAAAAATAAAAATATTCAGCCAAAAAAAGATATATGCATAAATTTCAATACAACTTTAAAATTTATGAAGTACTTTACACAAATTGATACCAGAATAAAAGGTGTTAAGAATCCTGTGAGATGGTTTGCTGCCCTTTGACGCTTCTTGGTATGAAGAAACTGAGGTTGAGAAATATTCAATTACTTACCTAAAGTGATACCGCTATAGTGCCTTCCACAGAACAGATACGTAGTTTAATTTAGAAAAGTTTCAATCTCCCTCTCCACTTACACACAAAAACACACATACATGTATACCTTTTATAAGAACTATTAAATGCAAATAGGATTTCATTTTCTTTTATTCTTCAGTTTATTGTTTAAAAATTAAAAATAACAAAAGGAATAAGAACCAAACAGAAGTATGAGGGAAGACTAAAGTATAAACTGAGTGATTTGTCAAAAAGTGATTAAACATTTACTAATTAACAGTTTCCTTTAAGAAACTTTTGTCTTTGTATGCTTTAACTCTATTTAAATATTGAATCATTAAAGTGTAAGTTGCTCTGTGGTGCATGTCTATAGCAAGGGCAAATTCAGTGATTAGATTCAATGAAGGCTTGCCATATTGATGCATTGCACAGCGGGGGCTAGGAATTCCTGGTCCTCACTTTTTCAGAGTCTTCTTAATTATCAGGGGCATTTCTACTTGCACTGTCATCCCAGCCCTCAGGGAGGCAGAAGCCTGAGTAACTGTGCCAAGGAGCCATTTAGGAAGTCAGCAAAGCTCCACCAGCCATCTGTCTTCTCTCTGTTCTCTCACTTGTTATCAGTGTAGACAACTAATAAGCAGGCATAAAACTCAGGGTGCTTGGATATATTTTCCCCATGTAACTACAGACCAGATGTCTTTTGCCAACAAGAGGATATGAACAGAATCTAAAGTAGTCTTTTCTCAAATAAGGTAAAACAATTTAAAAACTTTATGCATCAACTAGGCAAAAAAGCAATGAACTAAGTATACTCTTCAGCAATAAAAAGGAATAAACTACTGGCATGGTCTTGAAATCATTATATAGAACAGAAAAAGAAGATAAGCATAAAAGAATATACTGGATGATTCCATTTATATAAACAAGCAAAACTGAGTTGTGGTGATAGAAAGCATCAGCAGGTAGCAGGACCTGGATGAAAAGGAACACAGAGGACTTTCTGAGGTGCTAGACTATGATGGTGATTACCTGATTGAGTGAATTTGTCAAAGCTCACCGAACTTTACATTTAAAATGTGTGCCTTTTACTATAAATTACATTTCCATAAAATGATTTTAAACCTATTTAATGTACAAAATAAACAAAGCTACATCGTGTGTGTGTGTGTGTGTGTGTGTGTGTGTGTGTGTGTGTGTGTGTGTGTGTGTGCGCATACACACTGTTGCTGTAGCTTGAACTCAAGAGTTGGGTGCTGTTCCTAAGTTCTTCTGCTCAATGTTAGAACTCTACCAATTTGAGCCACACCTCCATTTCCAAACTTTTGGTGGTTATCTGGAGATAGAAGTCTCACAGACTATCATACACAGGCTGACTTTGAACCTCTATCCTTAGATCTCAGCCTCCTGAGATCACACCCATGGTGTGCCTGGCATAAAGCTCTACCTTGGTAGATGACTTCAATAAATTTCAAGAATCAACAGAAGCAGCTAACAGACATAAATTAACAATATAGAAAGTCTGAATCACTCATGTAGAATTTCTGTGCTTAACAAACCAGCTATATATATATAATTTTTGTTGGTCATGGGGCTTGAACTCTGGGCCTGGGCACTGTCCCTCAGCTGTTCAGCTCAAGGCAAGCACTCTAATGCTTGAGCCACAGCGCCACTTCTAGTTTTCTGGTGGTTAATTGGAGATAAGAGTCTCACAGACTTTCCTGCCCGGGCTGGCTTTGAACTGTGATCCTCAGATCTCAGCCTCCTGAGTAGCTAGGATTATAGGCAGGAGCCACTGGTGCCCAGCTGGTGTGTGTGTGTGTGTGTGTGTGTGTTGTGTGTGTGTGTGTGTATTTTTTTTTTAAATATCCAATGCCGCACTTGCAGAAACTGATAATGGGTTCAATTACAAAGAAAATTACTACACCCATTGCAACAATGAGATGTACAAGTGGTTATGTCAAAAACGAACTTTACAACTTTGGTGGGGGCGGGGGGAAGCGGAGAGGATTGGGTGGGGGTGCGGGGGGAGGATGGGAAGGGGAAACAAAGGAGGAGGCTACAATGCTTGATAAGAAATGTACTCATTATCTTGCCCATGTAATTGTAACCCCTCTGTACAGTATTTTCACAATAAAAAAAAAAAGAAAATTACTACAAGTTGAAAACCTTAAGATATTATCATCCATTATCATGGAAGAAAAAAATAAGACTAATAAAACAAAAACTATGAAAACTAATACACACTTATACAAGCATCAACCACATCCAAATTACCTGGAAAATATTCCAACACACTTCCAAATAATTCTTGGATGAAAAAAGAAGACTAAAATTATAGTAATAAGAATGGATCACAAAATTAGAATACTTCATAGCAAAAGGAACAATCCCAGAAGTACTCAGAAGAACATATACAGCCTTATATGTATTTATTAGAAAATAAGAAGACTGAAAATAAATGGATATGCAATTGAGGAAGTTACAAACGAATAAAAAGATATTAAACATAAGGAATTTAGCCAAAATAAAAATGATACAAGCTATAATTAATGAAACAACAAACCAAGTAATACTAGACATTGATGGTTTTTGAAAAAGCCAATAAATTATCCCAATCACTAACACATTTGATTAATATTAATATAAAATAGGTATTATTAAGCCAGAAACTGCTGGCTTATGCCTGTAATCCTAACTACTCTGGAGGCCGAGATGTGAGGATCATGGTTCAAAGCCAGCTGGGGCAGGAAAGTCCGTGAGACTCTCATCTCCAATTAACCACCAGAAAACCATAAGTAGTGCTCTGTGGCTCAAGTGGTAGAGTGGTGAGCACTATGTTAAATAAGTACTTTATATTTTTTCCTATTTAACTCATCAATCTGATAAGAAAGACATTATTATCATCATAAATACTTCCTGTCTTTACTACCAATTCTATTTTGTTCTTAATACTTCTCAACACTAGATATTTTTATCTTGCCTAATGTTTGTACAATGAGAATATTAAAATAAAACATTATGTGTTGTTCACTGTTGTATTTCTAGTGCCTAGAAAAATCTGGAACAAAACAGGCTCTCACGAATTTTCTTTTTTGCTAAATGAGTGCCATAACCTATATAGTATACAGAAGTAGAAACTATGACAAAATAGATTATAAAAGCTGGAATTGTAGTTAGCCAGATTTCACAGGCCATATTGTTAATACTATATCATCTTACCTTCTTAAGAAATATTAGGACCTTATAGGGCTCTATAATGAAGATACACACTGGATATAATATGTACCTTTATCTCAATAAAACTTAATGTCTGAAAGAAATGAACAATTTTCTACCAAAATGTAAATAATTAAAACTATTCACAATATAGAAAACTTAAATAACCTACTATAAATTGAAAACATAATAAAACATATCCCTAAAAGGGAACAGGATAAAAATTTTAATGAGAAATTTCAAACTATTCATTAATAGACAATATCCACTGTTATAAAAAGTCATGAACTTGTAGAAAGTATTTTTTTATTTTTAAGTGAAGCTTTGTTAATTAAACATTTGGTTATTGGTATAATATTATCAAAAAGGATGAAGGCAGCACATAAGAAAGAAAGCTAAAGTCAAAGCTCACAAATAAAGTGGTAATAATCTGAATAGAGCATGGTATTAAGTCATCTGGGTTTAATCTAAAAATACAAGGATAGTTCAATATTTTAAAATTTTTACATATTTTATTAATATTCTTAAATTATCTTATAATATCTCAGTAGTTGCAATAGACATTTCAGAAGAGAAATTAATACAAGTGGCTAAGATACTCAATATCATCAATCATCAGAAAATAAAAGGTAAGAACCATATTGAGATATTTTTTAATACCTTCTACAATAGCTATAATTAAAAAGATAGTTAAAGATAGTTAAAGAGTCAAGAAGAATGTAAAGAAACTGAAACCATCATTTGACAAAGATGTGAATCCTAACACATTGCTGGTGGGAAAATAGCACCTAGCCACTTTTTTTTTTTTTTTGAAACAAACCTTACAGTTTTTTTAAAAAGCTAAACAAAGACTTTTTTTTTTTTTTTGGTCGGTCGTGGGTCTGAACTCTAGGCCTGGGCGCTGTCGTTCAGCTCAAGGTGAGCGCTCTATCACTTGAGCCACAGTGCCATTTCTGGCTTTTTCTGCTTATGTGGTGCTGAGGAATTGAACCCAGGGCCTTATTCATGCAAGGAAAGCACTCTACCACTGAGTCACCTTCCCAGCCCAACATAGACTTTTCACTCAACAGTCTCACTCTGAGATAACTACTCAGGAAAAATAAAACCAAATGTCCTTATAAAGACATGTGCACAAATGGTTGCAGAAACATTATCATGATAGGCTCAAACTGGAAACAATCCAAGTAGCTATCAGCTAATAAGTGGATAAACAAAATATGGCATATCCATGCAATGAATAACTATTCAAGACATAAAAGAATAGACTACAGATAAATGCCATAACACGATTATACCTTGAAAACATTAAGTAAGCACATATAAAAGACTACATATGGTATGGTACCATTTATATAAAATGTCAAGAAAGGAAACATCTAAAGATTAGAAAAAGAAAGGAGAGGGAAGGAAGGACAGAGGGAGGGAGAGATGGAGGAAGGGAGGGAAGGAAAGAGGTATGAAGGAAGAAAGGAAACAAGGCAAGGGATGAGTAAGAGAAAGGGAAAGAGAAGGGGAAGAGGAGGGGGAAGGGAAATGGGGGGAGAAGGGGAAGGAGAAGAGATGGAAGAGAAGGGTAAAGAAAAGACAAATCTAAAGTGGTACTGTGGCTCAAGTGGTAGAACACTAGCCTTGAGTACAAGGAGGCTCAGGTGATAGCACCTAGGCCCTGAATTCAAGCCCCACAATTGACCAAAAAAAAAAAAAAAAAAGAAAGAAAGAAAGAGAAAGAGAGAGAGAGAGAGAGAAAGAAACAAACAGAAGAAAGAAGAAAAGAAAGAAAGAAAAAAAGAAAGAAAAAGAAAAGGCAAATCTAGAAGATCTGTGGCTACTTGGGGCTTAGACAGGAATGAGACTGAGTACAAATGAATACCAGGAAACTTTTTGTGGTTAAATTGTTTTAAAACTAGATTGTAGTAATGGTTGTACAATTCTGAATATATGAAAAAACACTGTATTATGCTATTTCATGCTATTGAAATTAAACTTTAATGAAGTTGTTTAAATCACATTAAGAAGAACAGTAGTGTGTTGCTACCAAAATATATTAACCAACAGTCCTTATGAAACAATGAAATTGGATAAAAATGCAAAAAAAATCAATACACACATGATTTTAGCAAGATTTAACAAATTTTGTTAAATATCTTTTATTTTAGGTATTCCTCCCTCAAACTTAAAAGATACAACTTCAAAAGGATCCCAGAGAAGCATGATTTTTTAAATAAAACAATTTTAAAAGTCAAAACTATGAGAAAAATAATAGAGTAACAGATTAGTTGACATAAGAAAAAGAAGCTTGCTCAGAGATGTAATATGGCAAAATCTAACTGTTCAAGTTGTAATCCATATTAGTTGTTCAATTTCTTTACATAGAAAAACAATCCTTGTGGCTGGAGGTGTGGTTCCATTTGTAGCACAATAGCCAAAGAGCAAAAGCATCAGGTACTGCGTTCAAGTTCTGGTCTCTGACCAAAGAGAAAAAGAATACTTTTAAGTCTACTAACTTACCCATATAGATAGGAGTCCCACATGTGGTCTGCATCATGCCCTCACTCCTGGAACCATGTTTCTTTACTGCTAAGCCAAAATCAGTCACCTAGGAGAAGAGATGCAGGCATGATCATCTATTTCCTGTCCCAGGGCTTACTCATCCAGAAAACAGGACTGCCACATTTTAAGAGTGTTCACTTCATTGCTCTAGGGAACAAGACTTCTCTGAATTACTAATGGGACCTTGTTTTTCTTTCCCCAGCTACCTTTTTGGATGGAGAAGCCTGTTTTTACAAATCTTGAGATATCCATGAGCTGATGGTTCTTGCTTTAAATCCACTTGTTCAAAACAGAAAGTTTTTGTCTTTCATTGGAAAACATTCTTGCCTTGGTATATTTATTGTCTATTTTTCTGATATTCAAGTTTTATCCCAGTAAAGTGTTCTAAATGTAAATAATTATCCATGTGAGTGCTCACTGAAATGCTCCTTTTTAATCATTATTTATAATTGGCAAATTCTGTCTTTTCCTTACTATTATTTCCTTTGTGATTCAAAAGTATAATTAAAATAATTAATGCACTGTTAAAAACTAGAAGAAAATTAGCAAGAAAAAAAAAGCCTGCACAAACACAGTAGAACTACCAATACACTGGAGGCCTTCTGCTGCAAATGCAGTCTTCCTGCTCTGTTCTAAATCTTAGTAATTAAACATTTGGTTATTAAATATTCAGTATATGCCCTTGATTTTGTCTCCTAAGGTGAAACACCCTTAGGCCAAAAGCAGAAAAACAGGCACATTTATTGATCACACAACCAAATATAAGCTTTTGGTCCACATTGAATGCAAAGCTGCCAGTATCTTATAGAATTTAAAAAAATGTTTCTAGTGAACATATGATATCATTAATTTTCTAAATATATGAATCATTCTCTGGAAGGTATATGAATGTCCCATTTGGAATATATGTATCTTTCTCTACAGAAAATCTATATAAATGTCCAATATGCAAAGGTTTGAGAAACTGGGCACCAGTGACTCACATCTGTAATTCTAACCATTCAAGAGGCTTTTTGATCTGAAGGTCACAGTTCAAAGCCAGTGCAGGCAGCAAAGGCTTTGAGACTCTTATCATCAGTTACCCAGCAAAAAGCTGGAAGTAGAGGTGGGGCTCAAGTGGTAATGCACCAGCACCAGCCTTGAGTGGAAAAGCTAAGAGATAATAAGTACCCAGGCCCTGAGTTCAAGTCCCAGTCCTCTCACCTCCCTACCCCACCCCCCAAAAAAGGATCTCAGAAGCCAATTTAGTCCTTTGAAAAACATCAATTCTCTCATTCACCAAAATATTAACTGAGCATATTTTATGTCTCAGGCACCATTCCAGGTTCCAAAGTGAGTAAGATGTACATGGTCCTTGCCCTTGTGGAGTTTACAGAGGCGCTAACGAGAGAACATTTCTGTGGTAAGTGGGTTTACACCATTGTTGGACTATTTGCAGTACACAGGAATTTAGCTTCTACAACTTACCCAGGCCCCATTTCATTCCAAAATTAACACATTCACATATTTTGAAAGCAGCCGCTATTAAGATACTAAGTAATAAATAATGTATCCTATCATTTATTTGACATTAAGGAGCACTTAATTTGAATAAAATCTTCAAGGATAAACACTTGGCACATTAATTGTGCTTAAGACATAAATATTAATACCCAGGAAAATTTTCAATGAAAAATACAGAGTGCAGCATTAATTTAGTATCAAAAGCACAGCCAAGGTGTTTTTCTCTAAATCTGTAACACATTTACATCAAATTACCAGGCATAATTCTAAAATTAATTAGAATTCAGAGCATCTGTTTGCTTGCTATTAACTAATGATTTAGAACTATCCAAATGAGTATGTACTTTAAAAAACACATTTGGAGCACCCACTTAACTTGTAAAATTATTCTTGTCAGTTACAACCTCTTTTGTGAAATTTTTTTAGCAGAAGCCACTTTTATTCAGGCTGCTTAAAATCTACCAAAATGTTTCTGAAAAAGATGCACTTTGCCACTTTGCTCTCCAACTGTTCATAGGCAAATGTTTACCAAGACTTGCAATACCTTACCTTTATGTTTAAGTTCATTTCATTGTTAGCATCAATAAAGCTGCTTTTAACCATGATGTTTTCCAGTTTTAGATCTCTGTGTACTATATCTACCAAGAAAATAAACAACAAATCAAATGAAATGAATCATAGAAAAATAATTAGAGGGGATACAGATAGAACAAATAAATATAATTAACAGATCAATATCCACTGCTGAAAAATCTGAGGGAGTGCCAACTCTAATTCTTCCCTGTTCTAGCTATTCTCATAAACAAACTCTTTACCCATGTTTCTGGACCCAAGAAGCCATTTTCTTTTTCTCTCTCCCCATGTGGCCCAACCTTCTGGTCTTCACAGTAAGTAGACTGGTGAGTAGGGAAGAGAGTATTCCAGGGGCTAAGCACTCCCGGGGGGAGGGAGACAGTGTTAGTCACAGCTCAGTAAGGTTTCCCCATATCCTTAGTTCTCCTTCATGTCTATGTATATGCTACTGTCAACAGATAGATACATCTTAACACACTGCAATTTGGCTACATATGAACAACTTATACTTATTATAGTATATGCTTTCTACAAAATCAGCATGCGTTTTTCTACTCTAGGTATGCTAAAATAATAATTTTTAAAACCCTTTGGTACATAATATCTCTGGTTGAGCATGTCAAAGCTCAGGTAGGATTTGTTATGTACATACAAATAATCATATATTAAACATTTCTTTTGCAAATAATGAGTTCAGTTCATATTCAGAAAAGTCATGACTCTAGATTTTAAAAAGTGGACAACTGCTAGGAAAATGTAGTTGAATGAGCCCGAGAGTGGCAACTATACCTAATCATTTGTTGTTGTTTTACCTCCTTGCATATTCCTCAGGCTTTGTTTTTCATGTCTTTGGTGTCTGTTGCTCTACTCGTCTGTTCTTTCATAAATGCCAAGCTATATTAATCAATATCTCTCTCTCTATATATAATCAATATATCTATAATCTATAATATCTATAATCAATTTATCTATATTTAGATCTTTGGCAGGCCAGGTATCTCTGCTCCCTCCACTGTCTTTCTTTTCATTGTTGTCTTTGCTACTCTCACTGTATTTTAGAATAATCTTTTAAGTTTCATGAAAAATATGAAGATTTTATTTAGAATTATCCTGAATTTATAGCTTCAAATGGAAGGACTGATATGATCATAATATTAAGTTTTGGCAAAAATTGTTTCCCTCTACCTGGAAAGCCCTCCCATTTTTGGTCTGAGTTTGTATTCCTCAGTTCACATAAATTCAGTTCCCCTGAATTCTTTCCTGACCTTCCAAATCAAATGAGACACTTGTGCTCTCCTGAGTCTTGTACTTTATAAGGCTCTCCATTAGAGAAATCATTGTCCTGGGTTACAGATGCTTCCCATCTCCATGTCCCACTAGCCTAAGTGCCTTGAGGGGCAGAGGTTTCATTTTTCAGTCTTTGTGATTCTAAGACCTAACAAAGTGCAGTAAGTGCTCAGGAAATATCTGCCAAAGGAACTATTGGGTTTCAGCATCAGGTTTAACATGCCAAATAGCATTGTATATTTTGTCAAAGTTTTCCTCACTTATAAAATGAAAAAAAATTTTAAATCATATCTAAACAAAAAATAGCTTCGAAGAAAAGGAGAAACATGAGGCAAAAGAGTAACAGTAATACGAATAACGGTAAAGCTATTAAAATAATGAGGATACTTTTTTCTGCTCACAGCTAGCACTCTCACTTAAGCCATGCCTCTATTTTGAATTAGAATACTTTCAACTTTTTTTTAACATTAGCTTCTAGTTGTTGTACAAAGGAGGTGGCATTCAACACAGCAGTCTGAAATACAATGTGTCTTAGTCATTGTCGCCCCCTCATCATCCTTACCCCGCCCTTGCAACCCCCCTTTCTTAATTTTGTAGGACACATATTGAATTTATGAGTGCACTCCCCTTCCTTCTCCTCATTTGTCTACCTCCTCCCCTTGATCCCACTCCACCCTCTTCAAGTATTCTGAAACTACTCTGTGTGATGATACCACAGAGTGGATCTGTGTCATCCCACATTTGCCAAAGCCCCCAGAATGCACACCAGCAGCCAAACCCTAATGTAAACTATGAACTTTGGGTGACAGTGGCGTGTCAGTGTAGGCTCATCAACTGTAATATTTTTCACCCCCATCGTATGGGATTTTGAGAGGCTGTACATAGGTGGAAGTAGGGGATATAAGGAAATTTTCTGTATTTTCTGCTCAATTTTTGGTGTGTCCCTCAAACTTCTCAAAGTCATCTATACTTTTATGGAAATTTCATATTTATACTGATTTGTCTACTTATTAAGTGCTTTTTAGATTGTTGAATAGAAATATTCATAAAGGAAAAATAGAAAATAAATAGGGATACAGGTGGACCCATTGCAACAATGAGATATACAAGACACTATGTCAAAAAATGAACTTTACAACTTTGGCGTGGGGGGGGTGGAGGAGGGGAAGGGGAAGGTGGGGTGGAGATGGGAAGGGATGGGAAGGGGAAACAAAGGAGGAGGCAACAATGCTTGATAAGAAATGTACTCATTACCTTGCTCGTGTAATTGTAACCCCTCTGTACAGTATTTTCACAATAAAAATAAATAAATACAAATCATCTATATTATTAGGTTCTGTTAATGTGATTATGAATCCTGAATATAATTCTCCTTAAACAAAAGTGCTATCTCTCTGCGTTGATGGAGTTGGTGAGCCACATGGTCCTCTCCTTACCCTTGTTGTGAAGATATGCTATAGCGGATGCAAGACTCTGAATGATCCACCTTGTCTCATTCTCTGAGAACTGTCCTTTCCTATCCAGAATTCCTTTGAGTTCTCCATCCTCACAAAGCTCCATCACAAGGTACATTTTCTGACATAATACATTTAAAGGAAAGAACAAGAGAGAATAAATTATATATCTGGATATCTTCAAAATGTTTTACTCTGCATATAAGACCAGAATGTTGTTTATCAATTTTTTCACTCAAAAATATTTTCATATATTATACAGTATACAAGATACTCTACTAGATACTCTACTACAGGAACAAAGAAGCATGAGATAAAGTACCCTCAAGAAGCTCATAGAATAATGCTAATGCTTCACACTGCTATCAGGTTACGGAGAAGGGCCAGCCTCTCTCAAAAGAATACTCACTGAGAAAAACCTTTAAGCCAAGTTTTGATGTCTGAACAGGGATTTAAGAAAAGAATGGTGTTATTGTTATTAAGTGATTACATACATTTCACAAATTTCACAAACACATTCTAATCTTCATGTGGCAAATTGTCTTTTTTGTGGTCTATAAAGTTTATGAGTTCTATGAGCTTTGACAATACAGTTGTTTCTTCCACATCGGGTGATCTGTACTATGTGCTCTGCACATAGTATGTGCAAAGACTGCACAGCTTGAAACAGCATTTGTTATTAAAAGAATAATAAATATCCCAAAGTTAAGAGCATTTGGAGTTTGGTAGAGTAGGAAAGAGGGGAGAAATGAGGAATGAGGCCAAAAAGAACAGGTTGGCGGTAGTTTGTAAAGAATATGTACTACCTCCACACACCACCACCACCATCACAATATTCAAGTCCCTGAAGAGTTTTATGCTGGTGACTTGGGAGGGGGAAGTTGTTATATCTAAATGAACACTAACAATAACAATAATGTAGAGCAGAGATAAGCAAAATTTTTTATAAAGGCCAAAGCCAAGGGTAAATATTATTGGCTTTGTAGGCCATAGTCCCTTTCAATACTCAGCTATGCTGCTGCAGCGTGAAAGTAGCCATAAACAATATGACACCATATTTATGGACTTGGAAATTTGAGTTTCATATAATTTCACATGTCATAAAATACTACACTTTTACATGTAGAGAATTTAGCTTATGGGCCATACAAAAAATAGACAGCAAGCCAAATTTAACTCATTTCTGGTTATAGGAGGTTGATGTAAGATACAGAATGAAGACAAGGATAGAGAAAATAAAAAGATGTGAAAATACCTAGGAGGAAGAAACAGTAGGGCTTAGTGACTAATTGGGTCTGAATAGTAAAAAGCATGGATGAAATTCCTTTTTCACATTTATTGTCTCTTTTGTGGCACATTAAGATTTCGTTAGACATTTCAACAGCAAAGTCATCTAAGATTTACAGTCAACTAAAATGCAGGTCTTTCTGATAGTATTATCAGACACAGCACACCATGTTTCCATTTTAACCTATAATGCTAGAGTTTTGTTGTTCTTAAGTTTTGGGGGTACAACCAGTAAGCATAAAAGGGGAAAGAAGGTTACAACCTTCCTTATAGACACAATTCTGATTCTTTGGAATTTCAAAAGTATCTGCAATTTCTGACACATAAAAAATAAGCTTTTGGACTGGGCCATACTTTTTTATTGACAGCACTGTAAGATCACTAGAACATGAAATAATCAGTGAACTATCTAGAAAGGGATGCTGCGTTAGCAATAACTGCAGTATAAGTTGAATCAATTTTAAATATTTATGTTCATCAAAATGCTATCAATAGAACTTATAGAATACTGTTTATATTTTTAATAATTATATACTTTCTAATAAATTATATACATTTTAAATCACAAGAAGCCATAGCATATTCAGATTGGTTGGTCAGTAGTAATGCAACCAATCAGGCAGCAAATTCCTTCAGATGTTTAGACATTTGTTTGTGTTATTGGGGCAAAGAGGGCAAACCTGACCCCATGTGAATCCAGAACAAGCATTGCATAAAAAGGCAGCCACATGGGGCTGGGAAGGTGTCTCAGTGGTACAGTGCTTGCCTTACATGCATTAGCCCTGGGTTTGATTCCTCAGCACCACATAAGCAAAAAAAAGCCGGAAGTGGTTCTGTGGCTCAAGTGGTAAGGTGCTAGCCTTGAAATTAAGAGCTGAGGGACAGCGCTGAGGCCCTGAGTTCAACCCCCACAACCAACAACAATAACAAAAAAAGGCAACCACAGATGATGGTTTCCTCTGCCTTCCAACTCTGCTAGAGTTAAACTTCCACTTATGCCCATAATGGACTGATAAAGACTAGATTTACTCTTCTGCCTGAAACAACTTAAGAAGTAGGCAAAACACACAAAAACTTTGAGACTTTAGGGGGCTGGGAAGGTGGTTCAGTGGTAGAGCGCTTGCCTTGCATGCCTGAGGCCCTGGGTTTGATTCCTCAGCACCACATAAGCAAAAAGAAAAAAGCCGGGAGTGGTGCTGTGGCTCAAGTGGTAGAGCACTAGCCTTGAGCTGAAGAGCTGAAGGACAGCACCCAGGCCCTGAGTTCAGGCCCCACGTCTGGACCAAAAACAAAACAAAACAAAAAAAACTTTGAGACTTTAGACATCAGGTAACATAGCAGTGATCTCTGAGAGAAAAACACATGAGACAAGTCCACAGTTTACCTGCCTGTCTGGAGAGTTTCTACACCATAGGACATGGAAAGGGAAATCCATGGAGATGACAGGAGAAAAGCACAGCACTGGGGAAAATTGATGAGACCACGAGGACTGCAGCGCACAGAAGCCACAGAGGAACTGCAAGGGGAATATGCAGAATCTATCTACTAAAGTTAGATGACTTGGGGAGTTCTTGGAGACCCAGGAGCCTCCAGAAATTTAGGAAGTGAAGCTGAGTCCAGCTAGGCTAAGACAACTTAAATTCATAGAATATTTTAGAACAGAATATCAGAGGAGAAAGCTGTTGAGTGAGCGAGAAACAGAGAGAGAGAGACAGAGAGACAGAGAGAAAGAGAGGGAGAGAGAGGGAGAGAGAGAGAGAGAGAGAGAGAGACCAAGAGAGGGAGGGAGAGAGAGAGAGACCTAGACATTTATACCCTCAAATCTTCAGCAGAATACTAATCAGCACATGCTTTCCTCCCCAGAAGCTGGAAGAGAACCATGCAAAAGGTGCAGAGTGGGAAATCACTGGAGCTCAAACATGGCCAGGAATAGTTTCTGATCCCATTAGCCAGAGTGAAAAAAATCTTGTAACTCAAGTGTCATTGGGTACAATACGTGTACTCAGAAAGGTCCTACCTCAGTAACAGGGAAAAATTAGTCCTAGATTAACAATTGCTCTAGTGCCACCTAGCAAAGATGAAAGTATACTTCAAATTATTTCCTAGTGACTTAATAATACCCTAAAATAAAGCTCAATAATAGATATAAGAGCTGGGTACGGTAGTTTATGCCTGTAATCCCAGAATTCAGGACATTGGAGCAGGACTGCCAATCAGGACTATAGAAAAAGATCCTACACCCTCTACTACACATAGTTATATAAATTAAATGCAAAAATACCTGACCCAAATGCACATTTATTAGCATTCCATCAAAAATTAACAAAGGACTGAAGATCATTATGTTGAATGAGATAAGACAAGTTCAAAGGGCTAACTACTACCTGTTTTTACTCATAAAGAGAATCTACACCCAAAGTGATGACAACAACAGCAATAATGATAATAAAACATGAATATAAAATGGGGACTGGTATGGAGGCAAGATTAGCAGGAGTGAGGAAGGTAAAGAAAAGGATATCGAGGGTGAAGAGGATCAAGATACATCTATCTCTCTCACACACCCACAAACACACCCACATACACACAATAAAGACAGTATAATAAAACCCACTAAACATTATTTGAAAAAGGAAGGAGAGAGTTAAGAAAATATAACTGAGAGGGTGAATTTGTTCAAAGCATACTATATACATCTATACATTTATCATAATGAAACGCTGTTGTTCCGTTAATATATGCTCATAAAATATGAGGAGTATAATATGTGAACTTTCAAAAAGTTAATATGTATACAAAGCTTAAAAATGTAACTCAAAATAAAGTAGGAATCAAATCAATCAAAATTTGACCTAGCAATACACATGATAAAATTAGTAGAATATGACATTAAAGTAGCTGTAACTATATGTAAGAAAGAAGACAGATTAAGTATTTTAAGATGACAAATATACATATATCATGTTATACATATTCCATGTATATATATATAATTTTCACTAGAAGATTACTAGCACATACGATGTTATAGGAGAGATTATTAAATCTGAAAACATGACAGTAAAAATTATATAAGTGAAAGTTAGGTACATGTCTATAATCCCAGAAACACACTGTATCCCAGTCATAGTTAAGAGGATTATTGTCAGGGGCCAACTTGGGGGGGGGGGGAGAAATCAAGAGATCCTATTTTTTTAAAAAAAGAAAGAAAGAAAGAAACTAAAGCAAAAAGATGATAGAATATTTGCCCAGCAAGCACAAAGATCTAAGTTCAAACCTTGGAACTACCAAAAACAGGAAGGAAAGAAGGAAGGAAGGAAGCAAGGGAGGGAGGGATGGAAAGGAGGGAAGGAAAGGAAGAAGGAAGGAGGGGAAGGAAGAAAGGAAAGGAAGGAAGGAGGTAAGGAAAGAAGGAAGGAGGGAGGGAGGGAGGGAAGGAAGGAAAGGAGGAGGGAAGGAAGAAAGGAAGGAAGGAAAGAGGGAAGGAAGGAAGGAAGGAAGGAAATTATATAAAACAAAATAAAGTATGAAAAATACTGAAAAAGTTCAATAAAGTACCAGCAAACTATGAACAATATAACAATCTAACACAAGTACTTGAAGTTCTCAGATAAAAAGATAATGATTTGAAGAAATAGTCATTTTTTTCTAAATTTGATGAAAACCTATAAAATTACAGAACTAAAAAAATCCCATGTGAAGCACAAGAAACATGAAGGGAATTATACCAAGATAAGTCACAATCAAATTGATCAAAATTGATGATAAAGAACAAAATAGCCAGACAGTGATGGCTCACTCCTGTAATCCTAGCTATTCAGGAGGCTGAGACCTAAGGATCTTGGTTTGTAGCCAGCTCAGGTAGGAAGGTCCTTTAGACTCCAATTAACCACCAAAAAGAAAGAAATGGAGCTTTGGCTCGTAGTAGAGTGATAACCTTGAGCAGAAAAGCTCAAGAACAGTACCCAGATCCCTGAGTTCAAGCCCCAAGACTGGTACTCTCTCTCTCTCTCTCTCTCTCTCTCTCTCTCTCTCTCTCTCAAATGAAGAAAATCACAACCAAAAGACTAAAAAGGGAAGAAAGGTAGAGAAAACTTTTGGTATCATTCCTATATTTATTCTCCATAAGAACCAAGCATTCTGACCCCACAATCCCACTTTTGGGCATTTACCCAAATGTTCACAAACAAGACCACACTAAAGCTACCAGCATGACTATATTTATTGCAACCTTATTTACCATAGCTAAGATATGGAACCAACCCAGATGCTCCTCAGTAGATGAATGGATCAAGAAAATGTGCTATATATACACAATAGAATTCTAAGCCTCCATCAGAAAGAATGATATTGCCCCATTTGTTAGGAAATGGAAAGACTTGGAAAAAATTATATTAAGTGAAGTAAGCCAGGCCCAAAGAAGCTTAGGTGCCATGGTTTCCCTTATTTGCAATAACTAGTATATGTCTGAGTCAAGCAGAAAAGGTCAGATAAGTTGATGTTAGTATTCAAGATAAGTATTCAAATGTTTTTTTGTTTTTTTTTCCTTTCATGCAATTGTTTCTATCATATTTATAAGATGATTTCTATGTTGCTTTGTTTGTCCCTCCCCCACAGTATAACCCATACTTTCACTGTATTTGATGTTGGTATAATTTGTGGAGGGGAAGGGAAAAAAAACAAATCATTTAACTAGGATACAGGTGGACCCATTACAACAATGAGATGCACAAGTCGTTATGTCGAAAAACGAACTTAACAACTTTGGTGGGGGGTGGGGGGAGTATGGGAAGGGATGGGAAGGGGAAACAACGAGGAGGCAAAAATGCTTGATAAGAAATGTGCTTTTTATCTTGCCCATGTAATTGTAACTCCTCTGTACAGTATTCTCACAATAAAAAAAAAAAAGAACCAAGCATTCTTAATGAAAGAAACTTACCACACAACCCAAATCGACTATTAGTAAATACCTTAGAGACTGGCAAAGGAAATAAAGAATAATAACTACAGATGTTTTATATCTATTGTCGCTTTAATCCTTTAGTCCTTCTATAACCAAATGAAGCCAACACTACCATTAAATCCATTTTACAGATGAGAAAGTTAGATATAGAGGAGGTGAATGGCCTGTCCATGTTCTTGAGCATAATAAATGGTAGAACCACTGTCTGACCCCAGAGACCATAGGCCTCACCACATCATCCTGCTTCCCAGCAAAGACATAAACATTAAACAAACATTAAACTTTAAACAAACTAGAGGCAGGATGGAAAATCATCACAGCTTCTGAACACCTCTAAAGGAAAATTATAGGCATTTAAAAGTATAGAATACGGGGAATGTGGCTTAGTGGTGGAGTGGGTTCGATTCCTCAGAAAAGGCCAGAAGTGGAGCTGTGGCTCAAGTGGTAGAGTGCTAGCCTTGAATAAAAGAAGTTCAGGGACAGTGCCCAGGCCCTGAGTTCAGGCCACAGGACTGACCAAAAAAAAGTACAAAATAATAATAACATGGGAGAATAAAGATGGTGGAATACATTAGAAAAACATAGGATGAAGTATTTTCCACAGAGTACCAAACATGCCATGCCAACTTGGTTATGATACTAACTTTGCAAAATTATGACAAAATTCCAATGGAGTAAGAATCAAAGAAAAGGAATGTTATCTATATCTACTATGTGGTTGAGTTTGGATTTGCCCTAATTTTAGACATTTGTTTCCAATATGCCACCCAGAACATATTCTTAAAGACATCAGTCTAACACCTAAGACACCTAGTTATACAACCAATAATAAACGCCCTCCCAAAAGTTCCCATCAATCTCTAGCTACAAACCCATGCCCTTGCTTCACCATGGAATGACACTCACTTTGTAATAACAACTTTCAAAATGCAGCAGGTTTACCTTAGGCGACTCAAATATTTTCTCAAGATGTATGATGTGCTCATGTTTTACACTTTTTAGGATGTTCACCTCTCGTTCAAGTAACTTCACAGCAGAGCTTCCAGCCTAAATCAATAAGGAAATGGATTTCACCTATGAGTATCACTCCTACTTTTCTCAGGAAAGTCAGTGATTTTATACTTTTTCCTACATTTCTTGAGAAATTTCCTTTTCAAATATCTTGTAATTTACCCATTATCAGGTGACATTATTATTCTTCTTTCCTTTGATCAATTTTAAGTTATATTTAATTTAGCTTCAAACCATACCTACCTCTTAGACTGTTCCTATAAATTAGTTACAATATCGCTCCTAGCCCCTGACAAAATCATTCCAGGTTTTCATATGCTTCTTGATATTTCCTTCAAAATCAAACCTAACCTTTGATGTTGGCATAACAAAAGTCAGGGACATTATTTATACTCAGTTTTATAACAAAATGCTTTTCTTTTGTTTTGTTTGGGTACTTTGATTTAATTTATTTATACCAAGAGAAACCCTAGGTAGAGATTCTACCTTAACCCTGTCATGTCACTTCCTAATCCCTTTCTCTGAGACACAGATTAAAAAGAGAGACCTTACACTCAAACCAACCTAATCCCAACTTACTTCCTAACCATGCCTGGCAGCCAAAGTAAATGCAGACATATTACAGAAGCACCAGAACTTCATTCAGGGCATAGGCACCTTCACCAATGTACAAGTCACCTAAGAAACTCTAGGGGTGAGGGTTATCACCGCTGCCTAAATGATCATCAACTCCACGAATGTCAAAATTGCCATATTTGGGCAACTTAAGTATTGCTCTTCCTTACAATCTTATATCTACACAAACCTATTCCTGGAAGGGATAACAAAAGACCAGCTCCTCCCCCTGCCTCCATTCATACCAGTTCAGAATAACATGATGGAAGGGGACTGGCCATAAAATAAACATATCTTATTAATTTTTTACCTACAGTAATTTATTCTCTTAAATCCCATTACTCTCCAACTTTTATCTTCTTAGGCTGAGTAGGATACTGGTCACCCTGCTATACCTATACCCTACCCATGAAGAATGAAAGGACATTTTAAGTTTAACCTAGAATATTGAGAGAAACAGTGACCATAAGAGGTGAATTCTTACTGAGACTAGATATGGAAAGCTCTCACGATTTCTCCTAATATTCATTTCAATTCTGTCTGTTCCTACCTCACTCTCCAAATGGCTTGAACTGTCTATAAAGCAATAACACAATAATATATTGCCCCATATTTGTTGATATGGGACTGTTGTCCAATAGTCCAAGATTGACTATATAATCTGATTTTACTACTTTATAATGTCTTATGTATTCTATGAATGAAAGATAATACATAAAGTTACAAGTATCCTATCTATACAGTTTTTTTAAATGAGCTCCTAATCCTACTTGACACCAAAAGAGCAAAGGAAATAACATCCCAGGTAGAATTATGGTTGCCCATAGTGCTAAAAAATTACAAAGACTTCAAAGCTGGGTCTGGTGATATACATTTGTAATTCTTTTTTTTGGGGGGGGGAGAGGTTCAGTCGTGGGGCCTGAACTCTGGGCCTGGGTGCTGTCCCTCAGCTCTTCAGCTCAAGGCTAGCACGCTACCACTTGAGCCACAGCGCCACTTCCAGCTTTTTTCTTTTTGCTTATGTGGTGCTGAGGAATCGAACCCAGGGCCTCATGCATGCAAGGCAAGCACTCTACCACTGAGCCACCTTCCCAGCCCTACATTTGTAATTCTTGCACTCAGGAGGCAAAGGCAAGAGGACTACAAATTCAAGGCCAACTTGGCAACATAATGAGACTTTGTCTCAAAAAACAAAACAACAACAACAACAAAGAACTTCTTAAGGAATTGAAAAGGTTTCTATGAAGGTTTTTTTTAACACATGCTTGGTAAGCAGGTGCTCTATCACTTGAGAAATGTCCACTCTTCTCCAGCAGATATATACAGGCTCTGGTCATGGCCCTCAGGGTGAGATACAGCTTGTGTTGATATGCAGAGCAATTCCGTCCACTAGAACCTGCATTGGCATTGTGTCCTCAGAATGCTGCTGCCAATAATCTTACCTTTTCTTTATTTACTTTTTTTATTGCCCATTTTGTTCCTGTTTCCTTGTGTGTAGCTTCAATGACCATTCCAAAGCTCCCTTGTCCCAGTACTCTTCCAAAGGTATAGAATTCCTGGACAAAAAGTAAAGAATTCTTTTTTCCTCTCTCTTTCTCTGCCACTCAGCAAGTAGTAAAAATGAACACATAATACTAATAGAAATGTATCCTAGGGAAGAGAGTTTCTGCTCCAGGATAAAGTCAAATAGAAGACATTACACATTTGCTCCAATATTAATAAATACATCTTCATTAACCAAAATTAAGTTCTAATGAATTTCACTAAATGTCCCCTTTTAAAGGAAAACTATACAAATCCTAATGGTGAAATAAGGAATTCCTGAATATTATAAAATATGAATATGGACTTTATAGTACAAAATATGAATATGAAACTATATTATAAGCTTCATATTTATAAAATAAGAAAACTACATATAAAATATAAATATGAAATATGAAAATAAACCTTTTTATAAGAAAGGGAAAAATTGAATATGAATACATACATATATGAAAGTATGTTATACATACCTTTATAAACAATAAATCATTCTAAAACTCTGAGAGCTACACTACAACATCAACACAAATAACCACTGAACAACTGCTTCCTTGCTTAACAAATAATGCTTTTGTTTGTCTTCATTGTCTCTATTAGAAATGGCTTGGTTTTGTTTTAGAAAAGGTAGTATATAACAGAAATTTTATTGCAAATCAGAACTGAGAAGAAAATAAATGCTATCCATAATACCATCATACAGATCAATCATGATTCTGCTTATCATTTAACTTTTGCTTGCAATGAGACAATGCACTGGTTTGGCCAACAGTAGTATTCTGGTTCACATTGTAAAATCACTGATGCTTTCATTTCTTGTTAATTTGGTAGAATGAATCCATTTTCTGCATTCAAATCCAGAGCATTAAAGAGAGTTTCTGGATCCATCATGCATGGGCACCAGCATTTGGGAAAGCAGCTGTGGTGAAGTGGCCAAAGCCTTCCCTAGAGCTGTCACTGCCTCTATGCGACCACTTTCACCTTCACCAGAAAACAACTTCGTTTCTCATATTGCCTACTGCTTACATTCTTTTTCTTCTTTCTTTCTTTCCTTCCTTCTTTCCTTCCTTCCTTCCTTCCTTCCTTCCTTCCTTCCTTCCTTTCTTTCTTTTTCTTTCTTTCTTTCTCTTTTTCTTTTGCAGCCATTGGGCTAGAGCTCTGGGCCTGGGCACTGTCCCTGAGCTCTTCAGCTCAAGGCTAGCCCTCTACCACTTAAGCCACAGCGTCACTTTTGGTTTTCCGGTGGTTAATTGGAATTCACAGACTTTTTGCCTGGCTGGGCTGGCTTTGAACCATGATCCTCAGATCTCAGCCTCCTGAGTAGCTAGGATAACAAGCATGAGCCACTGGAACCCAGATTTTCTTACTTTTATAAAAGAAGATGCAATGCCACTGACTCTGCACCTTGGTGATCTTTCCTTTATTTTTATTCCCTTCAGCATGTGTGCCCTAGGTGCTCAAACACTATCACTACTCTCTTGGTAATTCTGACTTTTTTTTTTTCTTTCTAAAATGGCACATGACCTCCTTAAGGCACAGTGTCTTTTGTATCACTCAAAAGACATAGTTCCTCCCTCTTCCTAAAAACTGCATATAGCAATGACTGAAAGTCAGATGAGCAACTACGAGGTAAAACAAGTTTTTCACATTATTATTATATGCAACTTCTATTTACATATTCTAGGAAGTCTTAGTAAAATGTTCATTTACCTATTCCCCCACAGAACAAAATAATTTCTTCACAACTATTTCCTAAATTTTTCTTGTCCTTTAAAAACTAAACTTTCATTCTCTTTAAATATACAAAATCACATTTTTGATACAGTATTACAATACTGTTTGAGTAAGATCTTTTTTTAAATGAGGAATGGCCAGTTTATTTTTTTGTAATTTTTTCTTCAATTAAGTGCTTTGATATCATCTCATAGAAAGGACAATAAAGAGAAATGACATAGCTCCAACAAAGTTAACAGACTTCTTACTGAAATGATACTTTGTACATGCCTGTGTTGACATAGAAGTTTCTAGTGTAACATTATGTGGGGAAAGCATGGATGGCATGATTCCTTTCTGAACATGTGTATACACTGAGATGCTTGCATAGGTGTCTACAAAGATATTTGTCTTAGTAACAACAGTTATCTATGGGCAGCAGATGGCAAACATTGTAGGTGAACAATTGCATGTTCTTTCCTTATACTCCTCTGAAATGCTCAAAATATGTATAATGAGCCTCTACATGTTGTTAGGAAAACAAGCTTGAGTTTCAACTACATTGAGGTTATTTCTCAAATATATAGATGAAATACTTTTTTACTTAATAGATACAATATAAGAAAAGTAGGATAAAATTAGTACGTACAGAGAAAAAAGATGAATTAGAGGTAATAAGCATTGAACTGATTTTTCAGGTAAGTTCCTACACTTTCATCTGGGACTGACCTTAAGATCCTCCTAACTCTGTCCCCTATGTAACTAGAATTATAGGCATAAACCACCATGCCCACCTTGTTCTTTGAGATATAAGTGCAAAGAGGGTCTCTTTGCCTAGGATGGCTTTGAACCATGACCCTCCTATCTCTGCCTCCAAAGTAGCTGGGATTATAGGCATGACCACCAAGCCTGCACTTACTTAACATCAATGCAATTTTCTTCTTATAATTGTTCATGGTATAGATCCTTTAACTGGATATTAAAGGGAGGTTTTAATTTTTAATTCATATGGTATATAATAATTAAAATCCTGGTAGGAATACTACTGGCATTTCTATAATCTGAAAAAGATGGAGGAGTTCACAAAGGAAACTGTTCTCACTACCAGTCAACAAGGAAGTGAACAACTGAACTAAAAAAAAAATTACTTGGTCTCTACATCTTTGAGAAGTCTATACTGAGATTCTACTATTGCTATTAAGAACAACCAAGATCCTTAAACCAGATCCCTTTGTCTAATAAAAATGTGTTCTACTTTAAAGTCCATTTTGCCCTCCTCAAAGAAAAAATACACTGCTTTTAGTAAAAACATTTACATACTTGAAAATGGTCAATTCCCTCCTTTCTTTACTTCTTTTCCTCTGAGAGATAGTTTAAATAATTTTGCCATTAACCATTTGCTGAGAAGACTCCTATATACCTCAATAGCAGAGCCATTCTCCATCCTTATGTGAGGGACTTTTCCTTCCATTATGCTGCTGCGACTCCACTGTCGGTGGGGTGCTTTTCTCTCTACATTTATAGTTCTTGAGAACTAGGACCAAAGAGGAAGTTTGAAAAATTTTTAAGATGTAACATTCTTGTTGATGGAGAACTGTAATTTAAACAATCTGATTTGTCTTTAATGTATACTATAATAGTTATTACATACAAAGTAGTTTGTTATCGTTTTCAAATTCTAAATTCTATACAATTCATTAGTTCATCAGTCTAGAGAAGACTAAAAAGTCTTTCACCCCAATCTACCCTTTCAGATGAGTCTACATAACCTACATAGCAGATAAATTAGAACTTACCTGATGATTCTTTAAAATCACCAGAAAAGGTAATTTTGTTGCTTTCACAATTACTCATTTCAAAATGTAAAATACTTCAAATGACATATATAAATTGGTCTGACATATACAAAATATGCACTCATCAAAAATAAGACAGCAACAATTTATTAGGAGATACCTCTGTGGCATTAACTGTTCAGTAAAACAAATCACAAATAATAGTTAAGGGTAAAAATGTAACAAGTGTTCAACTTTAAGGAAAACTCATTTTTTAGGTATGAACCACCACACATGGCTAGCTTTTGCCCAGGTTGGTTTGAAACACAATTTTCCTATGAAAACCTCCTGATTAGCGGATTACAAGCCTCTACCATCATGCCCTGCCCTTGACTTTTCTTAAACTTACTGCTATTTGTCTCCAAAATGGTGCTATAACTACTATCTTCCACATTGTTTCTTAGTTATATAGATGGATGTAGCCAAATCAGTTCAGCTGAGTAGCTATAGACTGAAATTAATACAAACTGATTTAGTGAAGTATATTTAATATTCCAGCCAGATAACCAGATATTATCTTAAATAAAGTAGCCATAACACTTTAATCATAGCCATAAATCTCATTCTACATCTGAAGAAAATTCTCAAAAATTCAGATTTACTTAGTTGCTGTTTTTGTTTTCTTTTCCTTTTGTTTTGTTTGTTCCTTTATCTGTCTTTGGGAGAGTAAGGGGAGGCACAGAAATGGAGGAACAAAGAGTGAACAAATGCAGCAGTGGTACTCACTGGACACTATTTTGACAATGACATATATATCTCATGGATGGGGGAAAATGGAAAGAGTGAGGGAAGGAGCGACATTGTCCAAAAGGAAAACGTCCTCATTACCTGACTTATGCAACTGTAACCCATTTGTACGTCACCTTTATAATAATAATATTTTCAATTCAGATTTAACTGAACTTCAAATACGAAGTTAAATACCTATATTTTACTAAGAAATGTATTTATAGTCTTGTCTTGCCTATGTTTTTAAGCAAAAACTCTTTTTTATACTTACCCCCACTTAAAAGGGGGAAGCTAGAATAATACTAATTATTTCTAAGAAATAATTTGGTAGGGGTTGGAAATATCATGACATATAAGTAACCAACTTTCCCCACTTCCTCTGTGAGAAAGAAATGTTCCTTTAACAACCTAAACAGGCAATAAACTCTCTGACAAGCACTCATAGGATATGGAGGAAGCTACGGGATCGGATTACAACCTGTACTAAGATGTAGAATGTTTTATATTCTCTGACTGGACCAGAAGTGTCTCTGCTATTTTTTTCTTTCTTTCTGGTGAGACTAAAAATTCTGCACTACAAATTCTTGACGTCTGTAACATTCCTACCACCCAAACTGAAGAAATGTTTGAATTACAAGAACATACACAAAGTAGCTTTTTCTGAGAAGTTGATGAATAGGCAGGGCATTTTGTAGATTCGTTACCCATGCCACCATCAGCCATTTTGCTGGACTCTGCAACAAAAATATCTTGGAAGAGATGTTTCCACTTTTTGAGGAAGAGAATCTGATCAAAAGGTTGATGGTGAAAACTGCAACTTCCAATTGGTGAGTTCCTTAAGTTAATGATGCACTAGACTTATATTCATACATAAGAGCTGCAGAAAGAAAACAAATCAATAAATTCTTATCCTATTACCCTCTTCCTAGAAGTCAGAGGCATCTACCAGCATCAGAAGCATCCTGCATAGACATGAAAAATTAGTATTTACAATAAAATTGCAGCACAAAATGGCCAAAATCACAATCTAAAACAGTATTTTATCAAATTATAGATGGGTATACAATTAATTTGGTGGATTGATACCATTTTTAAAAACGAAATAGAGGGTATCAAAGTATTTTTCATAAGTTACTAAGTTCTGTGAAACTTTTAATTATACAAATATAAATTGTCAAATGTGTCTAGGTTGTACTTAAGTCAGGGTATAAAATATGTATCTTCTGTTTACTGATTTTTCTCACTATGTAGCCTAAGCTGGCCTCATCCTTGTTGTGTAGCCCAGGATGGCCTTTAATTCTCAGTTTTCCTATCTTATCCTTCAAGCACTGGGATTACAAGCATGAACAACTGGCTCAAAATGTATTTCTCAATGAGTATTGTGGTTTTTAAACATCTGAAGGTAATGGTGTAAAAAACATTACTGGGCTTTAAATTTTTTAACCTTAGTGTATTTACTATCAGAGCAAGTTTTTATTACATATTTCACAAAGAAATGGATGATTTAATTTTATAAAACTGCATAACATACCATGGAATATTACATAGCTATTAAAAAGGACAAAATAATGGCATTTGCAGGGAAATAGATGGAACCAGAACAGATCATGTTGAGCAGATAAGCCTCAGCACATGTTCTCTCTGATATGCGGATGTTAGATTCAAAATGCAACAAGGTATGGAAAAGCAAACAAGATTCAATAAACAAATGACCTCTTCTTAATCTGTCATATAGCTTCTAGATGACTCTATGTTCTTGACCCCATATATGGTGTATACACGTGCACATCTAAGGGAAACTAGGAGGAGGGCACAGAATCAGAGGAAAATGGGTGAAAAAATACAGCAGAGAGGCCCATCAGCTGCACTGGGCATTTATGAAAGTGAACTAAGCAACTCAAAGGTAGCAATGGGAGGGAGGGAATGAGAGAGAAACAAGGAACAGTTGATACTAAGTAAAAGGAAAGAAATGTACAAATCACCCAATTTGGAAGAAATAGTTTTGTTATGAAAGTTTGTAGAGTTCATAAGCTTTGTAGATCAAGATAATGATAATTTGCATGGTGAAGGTTAAAATGTGTTTGTGGCTTTAACTAAGTATCACTATGCCACAATACTGTGAAATTTATGTGATCACTTAATCTGTTTAAAAAACTGCATAATTCTACAAGGATAATATAAGAAGTAACCTCATTTTTAGACTTATATACCAAAATAGGAATGAGTATGTGCTATTTTTCCTGAGTCCATATTAGATTTTCCCAGAATTTTACCACACTTAGTTTGCTGGCTGTTGTATGGTGCCAACTTGGAAAGATTTGAGCTGAGCAGGGAAGGAGGGATGTGCTCTATACTACACACAGAGCACACTGGACGTGATTATTAGTGGTTTTGTGTCATATATTTTGGATATTCTTAAGAAGTACATTTTGAAGGCACATAGTCATAAGGTTTGAGATATGTGGAATATAAATGTATCCTCTGAAGGATAATAAATGACCAGAATATGAAAATAATATCTTTATTTTACTAAGAAATATATTTCTAGTATTATCTATGCTTAGATTTTTCAGCAAAAATGAATAGTGACTTTTATCCAATCCTTATCTATTTGTATTATCATGTTTTTTGCTATTTGGATCTTTTGAAATGTCATATCATATTTAAATTTTTCCTGATACAAAGGCATTCTTGCATTTTTCAATGAGCCCTAAATGATTACAATGGATAATTCTGGTTGTTGTTTCTTTCAGGGAGAGGAGAGAAGGTTGGTCAGTCATGAGGCTTGAACTCTGGGCCTAGGCGCTGTCCCTAACTCTTCAGCTCAAGGTGAGCACTCTACCACTTGAGCCACAGAACCACTTCTGATTTTCTGGTGGTTAATTGGAGATGAGAGTCTCATGGACTTTCCTGCCTGGGCTGGCTTTGAACCATGATCCTTAGATCTCAGCTTTACAATAGATCATTCTTTTAAGGTACTAAAATACTAGCATGTTCATATTTGAAATGTCATGGCTTTATTCACAAGTTAACGAAGTCTATAATTTTCCTCTTCAGTTATCTTGATTAGGTTTTGAAACAAGATGCTGGTTAGTTTCATAAAAATAAGTTATTTATTTTTCCTCTGTGTGTGTGTGTGTGTGTGTGTGTGTGTGTGTGTGTGTGTGTGTATGCGTGCGCGCATACACACGTGTGTTTTGGGGCTTGAACTCAGGGCCTGGTGCTATTCCTGAGGTTTTTTTTTTTTTTTCTCCTGCTCAAGGATAGCGCTCTATCACTTGAGCCACAGCTTCACTTCAGGATTTTTTGGTTTCTATTAGAGATAAGATTCTCACAGACTTTCCTACCTGGGCTGGCTTTTAACTACAATCCCCAGATCTCAGACTCCTGGGTAGTTAGAATTATAGGCATGAGCCACTAGCACCCAGTGCTAGTGGCCAGTCCTGGGGCTTGAACTCAGGGCTAGAGCACTGTCCCTGATCTTCTTTTGCTCAAGGCTAGCACTCTACCACTTTAGCCACAGCACCACTTCCTGCTTTTTCTGTGTATATGGTACTGAGGAATTGAACCCAGGGCTTCATACATGCTAGGCAAGCACTCTACCACTAAGCCACATTACCAGCCCAACTTTTTCTTTTTAAAATACAGCAATCTGTATGGCATTGGAATCTACAGGAAAATTCTCTAGACCCAGAGATACTGTTAATAGCTTACACAATGTTTATTCTTACATTCTTTCTTACTAACAGAATCTAACTTGGATATAGCAAGTACTCATTAAGATCTTTTTTCTAGATTAAGGATTACCATGTGATTTAGAGCCAAAAAGATTATAGAATACAAATAAAACTGTACTCATGAGAAAATTTAAAATTTTTTATAAATCTTAAAAATTATAAAAATAATATATTAAATGTATTTATTAGTTACTTTCTTGTCATTGTGACAAAGTGTTTCATTTAGGCAACCTAACAGGAGAAAAATATTCATTTTAATGCTCACAGTTTCAGAAGGTTTAGTCCATGGTGTACGTGAACAAAACTTCATGGTGACAGGAATGTGTGAAAGTCCTTCACCCATAGTGGACAAGAAGCAGAGAGCCAGATAGGAAGGGGCTAGGAATAATGTTCCTACAAGCAACCACTCCTAGTAACCTCCTTCTTTAAATTATGTCTCACCTCCTAGAGCTTCCAGAATCTCCTAAAATAATACTTTAGCTGGAGACCAAACATTCAAAATGTATGACTATAGGAAACAGTTCATATTCAAACCATAACCATCCAACCCTGATCCCCAAAAGCTCATGCTACCTCATAATGCAAAGTTAACAGTTTCAACATTGTTCAAGAGCCTAAATTCAGCCTCTTCTGAAACTGCTTAGCTGCAAGCCCTGTGAAATAGAAAAGAAAGTCATCTACTTTCATACTCCTGAATTTCCAACATCCTTAGAGCTCTACTGCAGCTTCGGTCTCTGACTCATAGCTTCACACATGATCCTTTCAAGACTTGCCAACAAGATTCTGCCCATGTCACAGAATCTAACTTGGAGGTAGCAAGTGCTCATTAATATCTCAAGAGGCTTTCCTTTGAAGTCTTGGTGGAAGCCTCCACACCCTAGTAACTCCTGTATTCTGAATGCCTGCAACCGGCATCAAGTGGACAAGGGAAGGATCTGCCTCAGCTCAGCAGTATCATGGTCCTCTTGAACTATGACTGCAGGGGCCTCTCACGTATGGGTGGCTCAATCCTGGAAAATTTTACCAGAGTATCATAGCAGCAATCCTTTCAAGGTGAGGCAAGGTCCAATTAAGCATCTTTCCTGTTGTACCAGGGCAAAGTGCTTGGCTGTTTCTTAATGACACTGGTCTTTTTAACAACCATATCTTCTTTAAGCAAAACTTTACTTTCTCCTTTTCTGGTCACAGTTTTCAAATCTTCTGTTATGGTTTTTTTTGCTCTCATTTCTCACGAAAACTCTGGCTAAAAGCATCCAGCAAGACCCACATGACAGCCAGAAAACTATACTGTAAAATATCCATTGCCAAATTAATTGGGCAATCACCTTTTTTGGCAGTACTAGGGTTTGAACTCTAGCCTCATACTTGTTAGGCAAGAACTCTGCAATTTGAGACATGCCTCTCAAGCCTTCTGCTTTAGTTATTTTTCATGTGGGGTCTGAAGTTGTTGCCTGGGTGGGCCTCAGACTGATTTAACTATGGCCTCCTGCATAGCTGGGGCCAAAAGTGCATACTACCATGTCCAGCTTATGAGTTGACGTTGGGCCTTACTAACTTTCCCACAGATTGCCTCGAATTGAAATCTCCATTTCCCACATACCTAGGATTACAGGTGTCAGCCACTGTGCCCACCAAGCTGTTTTCTCTAAACCCAGCTTCTTACAAAGTTTCAGGACACAGACAAAATGTAAACAAATTATTTTCCAGAATTAAACATGAATAGTCCAATTCACAAAAGACTACTGTTTTCCATCTGAAACAGGTGTGAATCACTGTGCCCAGATTCTTCCACCGAGGTGGAATCTCATGAACTTTTCTGCCTGGGTTGCCCTTAGGCAGCAATCTTCTGACTAAGAATGCAATCTTTCCTGTCTGTATTTCTCTTGAAATTCTGATCTGAGTTCCCACAAGAACAGCCCATTAGAACTTCTTATAGCATTCTAGGCCTTCTTCAAATGCCCTCCACCAAGATACTGGTTACAGACA